GAGATGTGCCAAAGATCGTGTGAGAGGGAGAAAGTGGATTTTATATAAAGAGGCAAAGAGTCTTTAGATTTCATCTGTGGAATAAAAAAAATCTTTTTTTTAAAAAGCACACAGCTCACAAGCTGCGACTCACTTGACAGTTTTAGACTGAGAAAAGCAAATCAGAGAAAAGACAAATCGTTTCTCCTGAAAGACTAGTGAAAGGTATCTGTAAGATGTGAAGCAGTAGGAGGCAGCAGTGCTGAATGACAGAGAAAATAGGGAGGGTGGTGCCAATAGATGGGAGTTCACACTCAAGCACCAGAGTGTCTCTCAAAACTCTCTACATCAACCAGATTGAGTGAGCAGCCGGCGACCGTGGTTAATGTCTCAGAGGAGTGTTTGTGTAGAGGGACGGTGCTCAGTGTGCTTCTCGAGCTGAAAGGATTGTTTGTAGTGAGAGAGACAACAGATGAGGCGCAGTGGGGAGGATTCCCAGGTAGTTCAAGGTTGAAGCACAACCCTCTTCACAGCGGCACCACAGAGAGAGCCAGTGTTGTGTGCTGCAGGGAAAAAAAATATGGGCATGCAAGAAACTGTGATGAAATTACTTCCAGTTATTTTATTTTGTTATTTTTCAGAGGATCTTTATGCTGCTAGAAGCCTCTACAGTGGGTTTTTTTGTAGTATTTACATAACATAGTATGGTTTGCCTTTATTTTAATGTAATTTGTGGTATGTTTTGGCCTCATTAACAAATAACAGTAATATTTGGACAAAGAGTATTTGATTACATTAGTTACCAGTGTAACTAGTGTACGTCCTAGTGCTATTTAGACTTCAAGGTATAATGGAGGATTTTTGTAAATTTTTAAAAGGATCCACCCTCTCCAAATAAAAAAAAAGCACAACCCTGTACCTGCTCTCGATAGGGAACACTTCATAAACACCTGCAAGAGCATGCACACGCCCATTTCTCCTCGTGCACGCTCTGTTGTTGCTGTTTGCAGCGGTCATACAACCTAACGTGAAGATTTGCAATTTTTCCACTATATCAGACTCACCAACGCTAAGTGAAAATGGGGACGGCCTTACGTAAACATATCACCAAAATGATTGACAATTAGGGGGACCACTTATTTTTATGATCCACCTGGAAAAAGAACATTCTCCACTATACTTTTATTATCAGTTTATTAATTTATTTATTTTATAATGTGTAAATTAAGATCTATATATGACAGATTTTGGATCAAATGTAAGTTTAAAAAAATATGTTTGCCATACAGAAGTTGCCTCTGGAGAAAACCCTGACACTCACTAAGGGAGGAAAAAAATTAGTATCTGCAAAGTACCAACACAGGATGTGGCTCTACAGCTTGTTTATTGTTTACAGGTTATATCAATGTCTCCCATAGCCATGCCCAATAAAAAGTAATGCAACAGCAAAAAGCCTAATGGCATAAAACTTTCTCAGTCTCAATCTTTTTTTCCTCTTTTCCTAGTCTGGAGAACGTCACAATGATAAATAGGATCATCCAAACAACACAACTTTGTTTCTGTGTTATTTAGCTAACATATAAGCAATAAGCATGTTTTAAGAAAGATTTAAAAGACTACAATGTAAAATGATGATCACTGATTTACCGCCTCATTGTGCTTGATTCTGATTAATCAAAATCCTCCATAAAGTTTCCCCTATTTTATGTGCCTTTCTTTATTTGATTTTGTAATTGGAATTAATGGGATGCATGTTTATTTATTTTTTTTACTAGGCGGGGAACAGCTGGTTTTTAAACAGCTCTCTGGTTTCTGCTGACAGATGAGAGTCATCAGGCCTGACATTGATAATGCTAATGATCCAATAAAAACACTTTACTGGGGTAAAATGATCTGCTGAATCATGTTGTTGTTGCATATTTGAGCTTCAGCTGTCATACAAAAATTAAGATGTGACAAATTCCTATTATAGAAATAATGGCAATGCTTTCTTTTGATATTTTTTTTCACCCAGGTTTTTAGTATGTGACAATGAATGTCATAATGAAAAATCCCAGGATACTGATTAGTTTGGAATGTGTTTAGTATGGCATTTTTCTCTATGTGAATTCTTTTGGTTATAGACTTTCTGCATGTTTTAGGATCTGCTTAGACACATAGGCATGCAGCATGACAAATTGCATAATTTACATAAATAATTCATTAGCACTAATTAACTCTTTCATTAGTTACAGTTGCAGGCTGTCATGGCTTCTATTTGTCTTAAGCAGAAGCATTTAACAAAAAACAGATATAAGATTTTTCTATGTTTGTGCTAATAATTCAGGTAGAAACAAGAAATATAGACCTAGAAACAAAATACGTACATTCTCCTCTGATTAGTTTTCCATGTAAACCTGATGAAGTGCGGTTTAACCATTTATATCAATGTACAAATACACGCTTTTTTTGTGTTTTTTTTTTTTTTTTTTTTTTACAGATCTACTGTATGCTGACTGTGCTGCGAGAGGAAAGATCAGTTAGCTTGTGGAGATCCTTCCATCTTTGAATCCAGTGTCTAAAGGTACTTGATGCTTTTAACCATGAAGTTAACATCTGAATTCCTTGTACAGCTGGACTGACTTTAATAAACAACAATTTGATCAAGAAAACTATTTTCTGTTTTTACTGTACATTTATGAGATTTACCTGGTTTTCCTAATTTACTTATATCTAGTCGGCACTGGAGGTAAAGGGAAAACCTGTTGTCTGTTCTTATTACCGCCATCCACTGAACTGAAAGTGTAGTGTAATGAAAACCACATTTATAATTTACAAAAGGGGCTAATTTAACATTTAAAAATGGTCCTAAGTGGAGAAACATTTAGACTAGGAACTTTAAAACTGATTTTCATAGGAATGGCTAAATCCATTACTATGGTTTATTTTTTGGTACCTGAACTGGACTAGTACTGATCCGTTTTAACAGGATATTTTTTATTTTAATAAAACAATTATTATACTTTAAAGTTAGATAATTTTAGAATTTCCCATTATACATTGTTGTTTGGGAAATTTGAAGGCCATATAGCAGCGGTCATAAGGGCTACCAATACTGACCAAACCTGAGCTATGAACTAGAAGGATCAGCGTTTACCTAAACTTCATACATAACCCCATGTGGTCCTTGAGGACACCTTGGTGCCCGTGGTTCACTGTTTTAGTGACCCCTGCCATTCAGTTTCTCCAGAAAAGCAGTACAAACCTGCTTACATTGTCAGTGAGCTGATTACATTCAAATAACTGCTGGCTTAAAACACTGATCTGTAAAGTACAAGGATTTCTCTCTGAGATGACCCCCTACATTCAAAACAGGCTAAAAACAAAATTAAGAGTATCTAAATTATTGGAGCCATGGTTGGAAAGGATTTGAAGTTTGAAGTCAAATAATGAGTCTGGACTTGAGCTTGTGGCAGCTGGGAAAGATACACAAAGTCCTTTAGTACTGTGGACACGTTCAAACAAACCCATCTGTGGAGGCCATCTAAATATTCAAAAATGAAGTGTTGGGTAAATTTGAAATCTGCAGTTGAAGTTAAACCACTAAATTATTCTCAGACAAATGGAAACAGAAAAAAAGGTTTCATAGCCACCATGACAAAATACAAGATGTCTTGAAAGAAAAACTGTTTTTTTTGCCATTTTGCATGAGTTGTAGACCCTAAGACCGAACTGGGCTCAGGTGCCTAGTATAAATATAAGATTGTCTTGTGTGTTTCCATCAACAGACAAAAAATTAAATATGAGTACTAATCACATAACTGCTATTTCTACACCATTTGAGGATTGAGTCTAGAGTGCAGTGAAGGAATAACATTACAAGTGTCCTAAAGTCAGCATTATGCCTACTCTTCCTGTCAGCTGACTAACTTGTGTGTATTGTTGATAAGAAATGAAACCTGTGCATTGCTGCCTCATTACCTACCACCACATTCAATTGACTTCGGCTTATTTTACCTGCATAGCACCAAATTACAACACATCATTTCAAAGTTCTTTATCATCCTACAGATATATATATATATATATATATATATATATATATATATATATATATATATATATATATATATATATATATATATATAGATGGGTATTCATCTATATAACTATAGCACAGGGTAGTAAATAGTATTGTACATTATACATTGCACAAGTTATTGCCGTTTTAGTGTTGCATTGTATAGTCTGGTGACAGCAGGGATGATTGACCTGTGGTAGCGCTCCTTTTTACAAACAGGGTGTAAAAGTCTTTCACTAAAGGACAGCACCCCCCTCTCAGCCACTTTCTCCACTGAACATCTAGTTAGTGATTTCAGGACTTTGCAGCAATCTCTGACACTAACCATGCATTGGGCAACAGTGGACAGGAATAAACTGAGCCTAGACGGAAGTTCAACTGAAGAAACTAATCGCTCTCCTACATCCACATGCGACACAGCCAATCAGCTTTGAACCACACCTCCATGAAAGCCAATCAGCATCCAAAGTTCATCTTAAAAGGCCTCCGATCCACTTGTGTGCTTCTGTGCGCAGGATGCGGATACGCTGTGTGACTTCATTCAGATGTTTCAACCCTCCTCCAGCCCCTCCTCCACCATCGTAGCTAAAGCTTCATCAGAGTGTCATTTCTCCCGGACTCTTACTGCGTTCCCTGTCTCATCTCAACTGATCCAGCAGAAAACCACCATGTTAAGCCTGGTTCTGCCAGAGGCTTCTTCCCAACAGGGAGTTTTTCCTGTCCACTGTAGCTTCATGCTTGCTCATCATGGACAGGTTCTCTCAACCTGTGTTATCCAACTGGACTTAAATCTTCCAGGTCCCTGAGTGAAGCTCTAGTATCAGCTCACGCAGTCCACTGGATCTCCCCATAAAGCTCAGCATGCCGTCTCGCTAACCAGCAGTCTACAGACTGACCAACTTCATCTATCTCCACTCCACCACCAGTTTCAGGAAGTGGGGGGGAAACAGCCCTATTCTTTGCTCCTGTTCATGCATATCTATCAAAATTAAGCGCCATGTTCTTGCCTAGGTCTGAGCGCTAAAGACAAATTGTATCAATACATTTCTCCTAATTGTCTTTTCTCTTTGTGTGAGTGTTTCCAATTGAACTGCATTTTAACAGGAAGAAAACTCAGGGAAAACCAGGCTCCGTATGAGCAGCCTTTTATCTGAGGCCGACTGACGATTCAAGAAGGACGAGGTAAACACACAAAACGAACATAGAAACATTGGGCCACATGCGACAGCATTTCTATATTCTTGTCGTAATTTCTTTTATTTTTTCTCCTACCATGGGCTCCTACGAGTGCACCAGATCAGATTCAAAAAGCTTTCTACACTTCAGTGAATGATCCTGGTAAACCAGATGCATTCCACCTGTGCATAAGTGAGTGTGCATTCACAAGAATTGCCAATCTGCATAATTACTGCCGCAATAATTCCATATGAGGCTACAACTTCCAGAACTTGTCAGATGGTGGTCATACACAGAAATGTAATTGAAGATGAAGAAGAGAGACTTTACAAGTTTGTACATCACAGTACATGCACATGTGTACTATACATCTCTAGAGCATGTCTGCCATCCCTTTGTTGTCCCTTGTTCTGTCTCATACAAAACATAAAAATAAAAATGTTATTGGAAAAACTAATAAGATTAATTTAGACAGACCTAAACTTAAACATTCCATACTTGTGGAATAACATAGTCAGGTTGCAGTGTCATGAAGTGAACTGATACAAACATTTCAAGCAGCAACATGTAGCTGTGCCATCTTTGTTAACTTTCTATCCATTTTCTGTACCAGATGTTATTTCAGCAATAGCTTGATCTCACATGGAGCTCACTGACTTCTTCCCTTTGACAAAACAAGAAATTAAATCAGTGTCCCCTGGACACTGACATCCCAGCTGCTCGTGAAATGAGTAATAGATTTGTCATCAGTGAAAATTGAAGTGTTGCACTATATAGCACCATATATACAGCTGAATGGAATGGACAATTGCTTATAAGTGCCAAATATAGTCATTTAGTGGAGGGGAAAAAAAGGTTAGGGAAACAGCTGAGTGATTGTTCAAGACCCTTACATTAAGTCTGGAGCACTCATAAAATTTGATCCTGCCTGAGAGAAGATTAGAAGCAGGAGTAAAGTGGTAAATACAATGTTTTTTTCCTAAATCATTGAAACCAACCATGTAAGAACAAATTTGTTTGTTCTTCTTGCAAGAGGCCCAGTGTTCCAAAGAATTTGTGGGTCATTTGGTGAGAGTGTAGACCATTATCATCACCTCTCTATTACCAGATAACCTCTCATTGCAAGATGAGGGACTTCATGTTGTTTTTAAACAATCTTTAGATTCCTTCCTATACTGGCATACATAAATAATTGCTCTTTAAGGCTGTTTGTTTCCTACAACAGAAATAGGTAAGCTCCAGTAATTTCCCTCTGGGATTATTAAAGTATTTCTGATTCTGATTCTGATTCAGATCAGCAAACTGCCAAAATAGTCATAAATATCTCTATAAAGCTCTACTGGAGGATATTAAACTTTTTTGTGGAAAAGTATATGTCAGATTGTGAATGACTAAAGCCCTAAACTTTGTGCTTTGATTCATTATTAATGGAACATGGACACCAGACATGCACTTTTCATGTGCCAAACCTCACCTGGAGCACCTGGATCTTTAATAACACTTTTTCACATTGGCAGATAACACGTTGGCAGATCAAGTACAAAATCCCTAGACAATTCTATCTGAGAAAGTAAGAAAAAATGAGAAAGAGTATAAGTAAAGAGAAGACAAGTGTAAACATAAAGCTGGCTTTGACTTGTATGAGAAACCAAAGGGAGAAAAACAGACGCAGAAATTGCTTGTTTCTGTTGATTGATGGTTTATAATAACTTTCAAGTTTTCTTTTTCTGTGTTAGGTACTGTTTGCTTTGCTTGGCTCGCTCTGTGAAGTTATAAATTGCTTTTAATCATGAAAAGATTAGGATACTTTACACCACATTTTAGCCACTGTTGGAACAAGCAGACAGTCTGTGGGAAAACCTGATATCTTGACTGCATCAAAGTTTGAATTAGACTTTTGTGAGAAAAGCACTGATTATCCCTCTGATGTGCACCAGTGCCTATTCATGAACTGAGTTTAAACACTCAGGTAGAGAATAACCCCAGGCGTTCTTTACTCAATAAGACCCATTTGTGCCAGATTTAACAGAGGCAGCAATTTAGTCCCTTCTTCAAAGGTGCTTGATATTACGTATTATTATATGTAAGTGCCTAATTCAAGATCAGTGATCCAAAAATAATTTCCCATTTATTTACACTGTAAAGAGAGAAAAGATTCTCCTTAATTATTTTGTTACAGCCTCAGGTAATGGTCCATCACAAAATCATCAAAGGCATGCTTGTTAGAATAAAACCGGTCAAAATTGTCATAATAATTTGAGTATTAAAAGATAAAGATCATGGATACATGTTCTCTAATGAGGAAGATCTTTAAACCTATTTTTTCTTGACCATGAGCAGTTTTATGGGCTACATCTATGCATGCAAGAAGGCTCCTTCTGCCCAAGGTTCAAATATAGACAAAGACTGATGCAACCTCACTTCGCCTCTTTTTCTCCTTGACTGTATTCATGAGTTGCATTAACAATGGATGAGCTCATTTTATACCTAAGTCAGTCCAAGTACCTTAACAGACTAGAAGTGTTCTTTTTTTTCCAACCTTGTGCAATACTTTATCATATTCGATTAACAAGTTGATCTTAGTTAAGTATTAAGGAAGCGTTTCTAGTGACACTTCTGCTCCTATCAGCAGGGATTTTGGTCCACTCCTTATCATCAAACTGTTTCAGTTGTTTCAGGTTTGAAGGCTGCCTTTTCCACACAGCATGTTCTAGCACCTTCCATCTTCCTCAATAGGATTTAGGCCAGGGTACTGATCATAGAAAGCAACTTTTGACTTTTAGTCATTCTGGAGTGCTTTTATCACATGGGTGTTTATGACCATGGAGCTGATGTGCCTTGGCAAAATGCTATATTTTTGTTTCATCTGTTCATAGAACAGTCTCCCAGAAGCTGTGTGGCTTGTCAAAATGTGGTTTGGCAAATTCTAGGCTGGCTTTTTTATGACTATTTTTTTTTTTTTTTTTTACAATGGTGTCAAGCTTGGTCGTCTCCCCATTAAGTCCACTTTGGCTCAAATAAACTACGTATGGTGCAATCTAACACCAATGTTCCTTGAGCTAAAAATTTCCCTTTAATCTCTTTAGAATTTTTTCTAGGCTCTTTTGTTACTATTCATATTATTCATATTATCCATTTTTTCTATTTGTCCATTTTTATCAATTTTCTTTCTCGTACAGGGAGGTTGCTTACAGTCCCATTGATCTTCAATTTCTAAATAAGATGTTGAACTTTCGTGAGAAACGAGCTGCTTGATTGAGCTGCTTGAATATGGTCTTAAATGATACATTTACATCAGTAAATTATGATAAAAAATAACAATGCTCTAAATTATTATTTAGTAAAATCAAATGTATATTTTGAATTTTTATCTAGACAAATATATATATAAAAAAAAACTGTCTCAAACAAATTAAAGTACCTTTCTCATGTACTGTGAACAAACATTACAGAAAAAACACCTGATTTCAGTGATTGCTCAACAAAATTTTACTTCAGGATCTCCATCAGGCTTGTTTATTTGTTTTATTTATTAATAAATATATACCTAAAAAGATATTAAAACCTAATGTCTTGAATTCCATTTTTATTTCTTTTTTATTTATTATTACTTTTGTCAATTTCAATTTATTTTACTGGCAGCTCATTTTTTTCTGTCTTTAATGGGGAGGTGAAGGGATTTATGATAGAGCATAAAGAACAGGACCAGATTCATAGTAGGGAGTGCTTCTTTGGTAAAAAAAAAAAAAAACAAAAAAACAAAAGGGTTAGAATATAGTCAAAAACTTAAGGGAATAAGATTTAGTATACAGCTTTGTTTTGCTTTGATAATCTGTCTACAATTACAAATTATCCATTATTTTCTGCATAATTCATTCTAATAAATAAAAATGTCTTATGAACATGATTATTATTTTTTTCTATAAAAGCCTCTGATCCTATAACACTAGGAAGAGCATTAATGTCTCCAGGTTGTGAATAGCATTCATCTCTTGAGAGATCTGAAGTCCCATTAACCATGCTGTAAACCCCCTCAAATTGTTCATATGAAAAGCTTTCTGTTGTGAAAAAAGATGTAGTAGCATAGCAACGTATAAGTATGGAGATGAAAAACATGTTTTGAACATCTTGCTTAGAATGCTCCATCCTTATGTTTACCTCATGGTTTTAATGCCTCTTACATCTGGAACCAACAATAAGGTATTCTCATTTAGGGTCATTGAAAGCTAGATTCCATGTCTGCTGTATTCGTATTTTTGCCATAAAAATATTGCTTGTTAGTTTATTGGTCATGGCTACAAAATTGGCTGTAACTCAATGTACTAGTAATTTGCTGCAGTAGAAGGAAGAAAATGACAGAGGCTCCTGGTTTAACAAGTCCCAGCTATTATGTGGATAAGGGTGGGAAGAGAGTTACTCTTAAATGATTAAAGTAAATAACCAGTTGCAATTTAGAGGTAAAAATATATGCATTTAGAAATAAATTATTATGTGGAATTTTAGAGGGATACCAATATGTGAATCACAGTCTCTTGCAGTTATTTTTGGGGGATCAAAGAGTTGGTCAAAGGTTTTATTTAAAAAAAGAATAAATAAATGCATTATTTGTCGTTTTTATCTTAACTTTACACAGATACAACACAAATAAGCACACATTTTTCTTATTGTTTTAATTTATGTAGGTGTATATTTGTATTGTATCTGACTTCTTTTCTTTCTGCCAATCTGATTTCACAAGGCATTATAGCAATATGCACTGGTAGAATAGACACACTATTTCTTCTTCATCCATTCATGAGATTGAGAAATTTATGGAAAAGTGCACCTTTTCTGCATGAGGCAGAACCTTGCACTCACTGGTCTGCAAGAAACTCCCATTCAGTCAATTTCTGGTGCAGTTTTGGTCTAATCGAAATGATAGAAAACCTTTCACGTGTTTCACGGCTGACTCAGTTTGTATTCATCTTTCAGTGCCAATAAAAAATATTTTTTTTCATTATTTGTATTAGAGTGCTATGGAAACCATCAAAGTCTGATTGAACATTGTGGATTCTGCTTATGAACTAGTTATTTCTGCAGCACACAAGTAAAACATGTGCTTCAGTGTTAAAGATAATGCAATATATGTCCTATTTGAACTGTGAAACAGCAACTGAGTATGAATCTGAAAACGGATAACTTGATTAGTGGGATCTATGTGAAATTCCTTTGTGCATGAGCTCAGAGTGTCAGATTTTGAAGGCTGGGTTGTTCTGTTTTGTTCTTTGCATTTCCACTGTGAATAGCTTAACTTTTCTTTTCCTGACAGCAGAGCCAGTCAATAATGACAGAACGCTGTGCTGGTCCAGCAATCAATGCTGCTTTCTTTCTTTTTCCTCAGGATTAGAAGACTGGAATGCTACTTATAAAAATATTGGCCACTTGTCCAGTGGTGAGTTATGATTGTTTTTGATTGGTCTGTCTTCTTTACATTAATTTTTCTCTTTTTGACTTAAATAGATGAAAAAACAAATGCTGTGCCAGCCAGTAATTAAGGATTAATACTTCTGTTATCTGTCGGGATATAAGAAGGATGAGAAGCAGCTGATTTGTTTTATATACAAAGATAAAACCAAATAATAAAAAAAAACATTAATAATCTAAAATAAACTAAAGAAACACTGTAAAATTAAGTCAAGGGCAAAGAGAAAAATATTTCCCTGGAGTTGCTGCAAAACCAGCTGACAAACAAGCCCCTAGTCCATTTCATAGAGTATTTCAGCACAACTGCCCTTTATGTAAATACTACATTTTTCATTTCAGGGTACACATGTTTTCTTCCGAGGACGAAAGAAACGGGTGTTTAACATTTTATACTTAGTGATTTTCTTCTTGAGGGATGTTAACTTTTGTTTTTCAATACAAATTTTTTATTTATTTTCTGTTTATTGTATTTGCATTGTGAATTGATGTCTTAAGAACATTTTGTTCTTGTAAAATTTATGACAATAAAGACTCTTCATTGTTAATTTAGGCTTAGCTTAAAGTTGTGCTTTAAAGACTTAACATTTTTGACGAGTAACAAAAAACACAAAAATGGGATGAGGAGCAGTGAGTTTTGGCAGAGCAATAAAAAAAAATAAAAAATCAGACATAGCAATGGGAGGATCCAGAAACAAAGTAAACCAATGCGATATATTATGTACTGATGCAAAAGAGGATAAGTGACTTACAGGACTATTTAGAGGGAATGAGGAACAGCTGAAGAAGCAGCAAAAACAGAAAAAACCCAGAATAGTGTCTAACAAAAACTAGCTTTCATTCTTTCCAAACATACTAAAAAAACAAAAACAATTCAGATTTTTTATATTCATCAAGATATGATTAAAAAGGAATTTCTATCAAGGTTATTTTGTATGTAGGTTTGGAAATGTGCAAAAACAAAACAATGCAAAGCAGGTTTATTTTCTATCTCTAAGAAAAATTTAATTCCCCCACACTGTTGTGCTAAATGATAATTTGATTAACATAACGATAATTTAACTACAGCAATATCCCTTTGTGTATACAGCTCATGTATTTGTAAAGCTGTTGTAATAGCCAATTTGAGACATATTCATTTATAGTTTTAAAAAAGGTTAAAATACAAGATTGATAAATTTTTGTTGTTAAGATTATCATTTAAATTTAAAACCTCTAATATTAAAAGCATAGAATATAGAAATGCAATTTTAAATGCATATTTCTGGGCTTGCAGCATGGTGTAATTGCATAAATGTTTTTCTTTTGTTTGCTTGTACGTTCTGTACGTAAGGACTGAGGGGGAAACAGATATGCTGGAAGCAACAGTTTTTGACAGTTTATACAGTATTATGAGAGTGTGGATGTTCTCTTTTTTTGTTTTCTTTTAATAAACATCACAAGTTGAAGAAAATTATCTGGAATTGCTCGCGTTTCAATACTTGTTGCTAGACTGTTTTTCCATGCGGTACCGAAGAAACTAAAGGAGCTTGTGTGCCGCTACAGCTGTCCTTTATAATTCAAGCAATCATGAAGACAGCAGTCTATGGGGATTGCATAAGATGGATTCCACAATGTATACCCCAATCCAGGTATACATTGTGGAAAAAGGACCGACATTATTTGATTTCCTTAGCAAGGGTTTAGATATGCATATCCAAAGCTTCTTTAATCAGTTGAAGATCTTTTTCATGAAGACATCCTTCTGATCAGTGATACCAGAACCTCTCGGAAAAAGTGGATATTTTTAAAGGAATTAATATAAGACTGAGGTTGGAAAATGTATTTAATGTTTTATAAGATGGTATGAATATCACCAAATAATTACCAGGCTTTATTCCAGTCTGTAACCATATTTGACCAAGCTGTGGTCAGAAGACTGGTCCGAAGTCAGCAGCAGGCGGAATCCAGGTAACAGTAGAGCAATCCAAGAACAGGCAAACAGGGTCAACAGGGGTGGTCGACATCTCAGAAGTCCGAGGGCAGAAACAGATCAGGAAACAGACGAACTTAACACAGGGAACACTAGAGTTTCTCTCACTGAGAAGCTGGAATAATCTGGTACCAAAGGCTTGGGTCCATATGCTTAAATAGCTGCAGGTGGATGAAAGCTAATGAGCAGAGGGTGAAACAAAGCAGAGGAGAGCATCAAGTAAAAAACCCAGCCTAAAGGTGCCAAGATCATTGTGGTTTAAGAAAGTGCATAATACGGTAATTTAAAAGTAATTTTAAAGTTTGAGGCAGGGTTCAGTTTTAAGGTTGTACGCATTAATTTCTGGAAAATAAGTTGTACATTCAAGAAAATGTTTGTGAAGTAATCTCTAAGTTCTTTTAACACTTTAGATCTGATTACGAATATACAGAGTATAATCTGATTATATCTTGTTCTGCTTGCTGCTGTGGATGGACAGTGCTCTTCTGACATTGAGCTGATGTGTGAATTTCACTCTTTCAAAAAGCCTGCTGAAATGTGTGATTTGTCCTTCTAAAGGAACCTTCTCCTCAGCAGAACAGAAAAAAATTACAGGTGGAGCACATCAGAAGACACTCATTGATCTGGAGGATTTGAGAAATAAGATTCTGAATCTTAGCCAGTCCGTGACTAAATCTCTAGCAGATAAATCTATTCCTAGACATTTTCTCAGCAAACATGGTACATAAATTATGGTACATAAATTACTCTCAACTTTGAAAACTAAGTCTTTGACAAAGTCTTTTAAGTTCTTTTCTAATGCAGCTTCAGCTTTAGCTTTAAGGTTAAGCTAAATCCATCCACAGGTGGGCAGAGAGCACGCTTATTAATTTTGTGAGTGATAAAAGAATCTTTGAATAAAACACCTGCTAATCCCCCAAACACATAAGGTCTTCAGGGAACAACCAGGTCTAAACTGTCTCTGTGAGAAACATAATAGGATGGTTCACGTTAATTAAATCTGCCATATGCCAGCACTCTCTTCACAGCATGTCCCACAACGTAGCAGATGTGACAAACTATCCATTGTTCTGAAAATAAAATCTATCAGGACTTGTACACATGAGAGTCAAAGAATCAGCCAGGTGCCCTTCCAGGCCTTTTCCAGTCTGCTTTGTCATTTTGGAAGGAAATCACAGCTGTCTGTCTCAAACGGAGGGTTTTGGTTATATATCCTGTTTTTTGCTGCTTTGATTTTTTTAGCACACCACTGTTTAAACCAAGATTATATTGACACTGTGTTTAAGGGAAATGTTTTTTCTCTAACACTTTTTGGCTGGAATTTACACCAGGGAGTGTAAATATGGCCCTGGGAATTTTAATGTTGGCATTCTGTAAAACAGGGAGGTGGATAGATGATTATATTTCATATTGCATTTTCCATTCATCCATTAGAAATCAGTAGAAATGAATGTATAGGTCCAAACTGATAAAAAAAAAAGACAATATTAGCTAATTACAATGCATAGAGATACAGAAAACACAAGGTGCCACTACTGTCAGCAAAGAGCAGGAAATTGAGGCTATATTTTACACAGTTTACCAATACTAGATGATAACAGATTAGAAAACATTTAAATTTCAGTTACAATATTCAGATGATAGGGTTCGAATTATGGTGTAAAAAAGATGAACTGCAATGATCTCGGCACTGATGCTGGGCTGATCACGTATTTCATACACCTGCTCAGCTCCACCCGGCTTCACCTGTTTCCTTCACAATATAATCAACATCAGACCAGTCGTCAGGGCCAGATTATCTTGTGCCAAACCACTAAGAATAATCCAGCATCTCATTCCAATTATCTGTTGCCCGTCCATTTACTGACTTGTTCTGTCTCCTAAGCCGAGCCTGCCTGATCCCGTTCTGACTCTGCCTGCCTGGATATCCCTTCTGTTCTGCCTCTGGATCCCTGAGTCAGTCTGGCCCAAACTGCCTGCTTTCCTCTCTCCGGATCACAAACTCGGAGCATCCTCACATAAACTGTCTGCCTTCCTCCTCTGGATCACAAACTGGTAAAGCCTCGCCCACTCAGTCCGGCTGTCTGTCTCCAGCTTGCTGCTCCGCTCAGACTAAGTCCCGCTCTTCAAACACCTGAATAAACTGTGTTCTAACGTCTCTGACCTGTCTTGGTTGTATTTTGGTCCAGCGTCTGTTTTTCACATGAACGCCTGGATTGATCATGCCTTGTTTCAGCAGATCTGGCAATTTAAACAGTACACCTCAGCTGTGTATTTCTGCTAAACATGTTCATCATTTTATGACCACAGTGGACAAACATTCTGACCATAACAATGACCTCTACTCTGGTGACCTCCAGAGTCAATAGACCTTAAACCAATAAAGAACATTTTGAATATGTCTGAAATAAAGGTATGAGTCATGCATGGGCACTCTACCATTCTGCTTTATACTTATGAAATTCGTCAATGTTGACGAAAATTTCAGAAAAAAATTATTCACACCTTCCTGAAGAATCTGTGCAAATGTTAAGACAGTTCTGAAGAAAAACTAATCCACCCAGTCTACATACATGCATCAAGACATGCCTAATTTTCAACTGCATTCTCTTTGGATTCATTTATCAAATATTATTCCAGATAACTCTGAGGTCTTCATTGTTGCCAAATAGTTATCAGAGTTTAGCAACCCCTAAAAACAACTTTGCTCTTTGCATTGATGGTTGGACTGCACATCCTTAAAGGTCTGTGTGAAAAGTTTTCACCTTTTTGCTGCCTTGTCCGATGGTGTACTCTTATTATTAAGCTTAATGGGCCTTTGGATCAATAATTCCTCAAACTGCATCAGTGAGGATTAACTACCCCCCAGGGACTCTTCTCAGGTCAAAGCGTGGTCCATTTGGCAGCTAATTAGATGTTTGTCTATTGAGCTTATGGTTTTTGTGAGGCAGAGCATACACTGAAAGTTAAAACTGCACACATCTTCCAGTGGGAAAATTGTGTATCTTCTCGATAGATATTGAGTGGAATCTATGCCTTGGAGTCTAGTCCGTGTGAGTACCTGCAGTTTCTTTCTTTGATTTGTTTGATCAAAGCAGAAATCTCTGAACACATTGAAACAAAATAGAATCCAATACCTTCAGAGTTTTCTGCATTGATTTTTTTTATTAATAATGGTAGACTGCCTATAGTACTCTAATTTATTTCAGTAATGCCATCTTGTCTTATGAGGTTTCTAATCATTGTTCTTTTTGAAACCAAAAATGAGAAAAAAAATCAGTGTGAGAATTATGCAAATGTTATTTATCAATCCATCTAACTTGCATATTCCTTGTCAGATTAATGGGGCAGCAGGTTTTTTTTAACTCTTCAGATAACAAGGCAAAATATATGCACATTTAGTCAATATTATGTATGTGCTTTTATTTATTAATCGGACTGCAAGCAGTGTTGGTGGTGTATAGAAAAGTTACATCCAAGAACCCAGACTTCAAGTTTCTTCATAAC